ATAAAAAAACATTAACTCTTCTTGCTGGCATATGAATGTCTTCGTCAAAATGTTGAGCATATCCCAGATAACTGTCAACCGGATTAATACACTGTATCAAATACATTTTAGATATTACTTCAATGTCTTTGGTACAATCCGCCGTCACTGCGGAGAGATGCCCTGGACACAGAGAAATTGGATAAAACTAATGGTACTACATGGTCATAATAGCAAACTTTGGATAGTTCTAGCACCCAGGAAAACTTCTCCTAAGTTGGAATTATGAAATTTTTGATTTTCTTTTGATATCTTAAAATTTTAGGCTCTTAAAGTTGTTCATCCAACTCAAATTCTCCTATAAAACTGAGCATAATCCTTTATTTTACTCCATTAAGGTTTTCAAAAATTATACACTTTTTCGTCTGATGAATTCTTAATCTGCATCACATATAACGCTTCTGACTTCCGCATTATCAGTAAATTATCTTTTCATGAATAATCAATTTGTGTTACACCTTGCACACGCTTACTAACGAATTCAGGAGAATTGAGGGGCAATATGTCGACAATTATGAAAAACTTGAAGGTGTCTCTTAGTAGTGTCCTCAGCTATCATATTCCCGTTCAGGAGCAACGCAGCACGAAAGCGAAGAGAGCGCAACACGGTGATAATTAATTGCTTTATACAAAAATTAATCATTCTCGTTAATATCAAATCAATATTTATAATAGAGATCCATTATATACACATATACTCACACAATACGTATATTCTATTCTTACGGACAATACGAATTTAAAAACCATTAGCCGAGAAATGCAATGCATAGAAATTTCTGCTTCGCTGACGATCATCTTGCGCATCTTTACAGAAAAGGAGAACTTTAAAGGCATTCAAGCGAGCAGTCAGATAATGGAATCAAATGAAAATAGCAAAGTGGACTGTCAAGTTACCGAATGGAGTAAATGGACTCGTTGTGATAACTGTCGTGGATACACTATGAGCACCAGAACAATTGTGGTATTATTAGAAATTTATTCATGTATTTATTAAAATTTTTCGATACTTATTATACAGAACAAAAACACAATAATGTTTCAAAGAGCAATAACTATTATTCCTCCAAAGAGCAATAACTATTATTCCTCCATTAAATCCAATCAAAGAAATTATACATATATATATAATTATGTATAATTTCACGTATTGCGTTGGAAAAGAATGAACGTAAATCTAAAATTGATTTTTCTTGCGAACAGATTCCAGCCGAGAATGGAGGTAAAAGTTGTCCAAAGAAGATTCTTCGAAAAAAGAAATGCCACAAGATTCCGCCTTGTTGTAAGTATTATTTTATCTAATTTATCACTAAATTAATTTAATTATTGAAACGATTATGAAAGCTTAATGTATTCATATATTGCTAAATTTTTAAATATCTTTTATCATATAAAAAAAGAATTTTTTTTTTTTAATCAATTCTATTAAAGATTAATATAAGAAATAAATTTTATAGCTCTACAGGGTGATGGAACAGGTCAGCGATTTCATAGAGACAAAAATACCGGAACCGATTACGAGAGTAAGTCCTATGTCGCTTTAAAATATCACTTCAAATGGATAAATAAAATTCGCGGAATTCTGTGAATTTGGAATTTATTTCATCAGAATTTCCATTTTTATTTCTTTACATAAATATATAAAAAAATATTAAATTTACACTATAAATTTAACGAGTACATAACGATTAATTAAATTTCTCCGTACAAAGAAAAATTGTTTCAGCAAATAAAATTGACGTTTCGATAAAAACGTATTTATGAAGGAGGATCCGTCAAACGAATTAGATGAAACAAATTTATTGAATACATGATTTGGTTAGGGAGTTTAATATATACTTGATAATAAAATATTTTAACAAAATTCAAAGAAAAAAAGTAGTAATGACAATTATATAAAGAGATAACTATACAAGTTTATAATATTATATAAAATAATAAAATTAACATAAGAAAAAATTGTACTCAATCTGGTCTAGCGATTTTCGCTAAGTCCAACATTGAAAATTGATTAAGTTCAAAGCAAAATATATTTGTGAATATTGAAAATGTTTCACATTTTCAATTAATGTTTAGAAACGTTTTCTATTTTGGATGCAATAAAGTTTTAACCAACTATGTATCTACAAACAGCAAGACTATATTAAGTATTGAGTATAATAGTTCCCTAGTTTAGTATTAGTCCAATATTGAATATAGTTATATAGTAGAATAAACTACTTAATAGAATAAATTATATAATTGCATGAATATACAACTATAAAATAGTTGTATTCAACAATATATATATATATATCTCGAATAATAAGGGTTCAGAGAAATACATCAAAATAAATAAAAAATATGAGTCAATATAAACTGATGCTGGATTGTAATACGTAAAACTTTTTAGTCAACTTTTTATTCAACTATACATATACATATATTTAACCCTTACTATACAAGAGGGGATCACTAGTGACCGAGCGATTTCTGTTCATGCAAGTTTCTTTGAGTCTTTCGGTAATTATAAATTATACTACATTTTATTTTATTATTTTATTATTATTTTCCAAAATAAAGTGCCAATATTTATTCTAGAAAGTTGAAAATATATTGATAAATTTGTAAAGATTTTTTTAATCGTTCTGAATAGAGAGAAAAAAACGGACGGATTCTAGTGCTCCCGTTTGTATGGATGATACACCAAATTGTAGCTGATTCGATAAGGGTTAATTTTGTTCAATTATAATATATCTACTTCTACATATAAAACTTAATATAGTTGCTATATTTTTCTTTCAGTGAAGAGTGATCGTAAGTTTTGTTTGTCTAATCATCTCGTTCGTAAAGTTACAGTGAATTGTAAAGTGACACCGTGGTCAATGTGGTCAAAGTGCAGTGCGACCTGCGACGAAGGATTACGAAGCAGAGTCAGAAGTATAACGGTGAAACCAAGAGGAGCCTGGGCGAAACTCTGTCCAACTTTGGTGGAATTCAAGAAGTGCCGCAAGGTGGATTGTCCGCAATAGACGAGCGTAACGTTTCCACAATCTTGTAGCTAGTTAATCGAGCGGTGCATTCTGTTTCGAACGTTGGAATTTATATGACTAGATTATGAGTGACCCTCCCTCTTAGATGTCATGCGGTTGAAATCTCGAAACTATTTAGGAATACAGGTAACGAAGCTATATCAGAGAATAACATTGGACGACACAACTTTTTTCGGATATTCACGGATGTGAACGAACGTTCGTCGTTTTCATAGCGAAGATAGAGTCTACGAGAAAAAATCAGGGAAACAGTGAATGACATGACAAAATACATATTTCATTTGATTGCAAAGTTAAAGATATTTTAGATTTTGAAGTTAATTTAGTTAATATACATTATTTATTTTAAAATACAATCATCTTCTTTGATTTACATATTAAATTTAATTTTCTAAGAAAAAACAAAAAATATAGATTTTCATTAATTCAAAATCAATAAAAGTAAATATTACTTCAAAGAAATAGAAAAGGAATTATTTGAATATGATTGTATAAAATAGAAAAATTCTTTATCTTGTGATATAGAAACTACAATTTGAACCAACATTTAACTATAGTACTTAAGACGCATTGCACGATTTGCTAATTATTTTCTATATATTGAAAAAAAATTAAATTAAAAAATTTTTTAATATTTGTTTAAATAATTCTAAGTAAATTTTACTAAATGTAAACATACATTTATTCGATACAAAAAACCATTAATTTGATTTAACTGTCATTTTTTTTATTAAGTAAATATTTATTTATTGTAAGTTTAAATGTTTACTTATTATTGGTACTATTCAAAGATATATGTATTAAGATATATTAAGATAATATTTAGTAATTTTTTTCAGTGTAGAGAACAGAAGTTCATGTAAAGTTCTTCTGTAATAGCTGTAGTGAAAAAAAAAGAGTTTTGGAATTGTTTCTACATTCATGTTCTCTGTCCTCCAGTGTAATTTACTACGCACAGGGAAATTGTACATTGTTTTGCGATACTTGTCGTGCCAATGCTGAATTACTTAATATTTCGTATAACTTTATTTACCTTAAAGATGTAATATGTGAAGGTTCTTTCCCAACATGATATTAAGTTAAGGCAAAATGGATTTGCATTCCAGTACGTCACACAGTTGTGTTTAAAAGAAAAGAGGAAACGTTAGAATTTTTACAATTATCCATACCTATAATAAAATAATATCGAATAATCATGGTAGTTTTTCGCGAAAGGCGAAGACAAATCATTTGATATCTATCTAATGATAGCAAAAGGATAAAATCAGAATATAACCGCGGCATAATAATATTAATGTTAAGAAAGTATTGCTCCTTTCTAGCACGGGTAGTAAAATGCGAGGAAGATCACTCGTAATGACATTTATTTATACGCGTATCGTCATATTTGTAGCATTTATCACGCATTACAGATCTCATTGTAAGACCAAAGTTTATATAACAGCTTCAGTTAAAAACTGAGAACCACGATATTTTAAAATACTATTGTAAAATGCGATTTTGAGTCTGTTTTTTGTAACTGAACTAGTTTACATTTTTGGGACTCAAAGTGAGATATTTGATATTTGGCAAAAAGAGAAAAAGAGTGATTCTAGTGCAGTGTGCAGTCTAGTGCAGGAATAAAAAACAGACCTGTAGACATATCAGTAGTTTGATAGACAGTAAGTTGTTTGTTTGACGCGTAACGGGAAGTTTTATTAATATGGAATTTTCTTCATTGACAATAATGATATCGTAGATATGGTACAAAAAAGCTATTTACCT